TGCTATTGCACCAGCGTGTGAAATGCCTCCCCGCTCTCCTGCAGAGACGCTTGTTCATGGCCTCCTTGAATTACGCTCGCTCCCCTTTCATCTCTCCCTGCTTGAATCATTCTAAATATTATTAATGTCACATCAATCAAATGCTCGCTCCAACCCCTTCATGGCATCCGCGCTGTCTTGAGAAATAATACAGAATGTCACTAATATTAAAATTCCCCACCAATTTGTCCCATCTCCATCTCCTGCTGTTCCCCAACCATCTAGGCCAAAGTAGGCCTCTAAGTTCTTTAATCAAAGCATTTTTCTTGCTGTAGTGATTGGAAACTTTTCATTTCCTCATAGAAAACTGCATTAAGCATCCCAATGGTGTTTTGGGCATAAATCTCTTACTGCTCTCATCATAGGACTGTAAGTTCCTCTTATGACATATACAACGATTTTCCTAAAACTATGTCATATTTAATATTCACAGTTAGGTGAGATATTATTCACATTCAATTGCTATGATTGAAATATCTGCATTCAAAGATTCCAGTACGACAGTATGAGATTGCGATATTTAATACCTAGATAATTAACGTTAACACAAAATACTCTGCCTATGCAGTTCATTACACGAAGCCCCCATTCTGCTAATGATAATGCAGCTTGGTGATGACTCGATCATACTAAAAAACAAGTATTGATCTCAGCTGGAGATCAGCTGAGAACAAAGACTGGAGTTTTTCACTTGAGGAACTCTCCCCAATTCATTTCCTCTCCAAAGACTAGCCAGGAATGAGCAGGAAAATAAAGGTGAAGGCTGTCTACCCTGGAAAATCAAACAGCAGAGGTGTAAAATATCACGTGAGCTGAAAAGCCAGGGCAGGTACACAGAACCTGAGGCAGGCACGGGCACCTGTGTGCCCCCTGTCCGTCTCCTTGGCTGACACCTGAGCGGCACGTGCGAGACCCTGATGAGAGCCACTGCAGGGCTGAAGAGGCCGGCTCCTGAGGCTGCCGGAGCTGAGTCTGAGTCCAGCCCAGGGACCCATCTTCCAGTACAGAAACAAACCTTCTTCAAAAGATCACAGAATCCAGATTCTTGAAAATATGTAATGTCCGGTATACAATCAAAAATAACCTGACATGCAGCAAACAGTCGGATCCATCATCAAGAGAAAGAACAGCTGGGGCAAACTGACCCTGAGATCCGGCAGGTGTTAAAAGGAGGAAGTACGGAATTTAAAATGGCTGTGAAAAACACAGCCAAGAGCGTCAAGTAAACCACAGTCATACGACTAAAAAATATGGTGGGAATGCTCGATATGGAAATGGAATCAAAATGGAAAATTCTAGAACACAAAAGTCCAAGATCTGTCTGGAACATGAATGGGGTGAGTGTGAGTTAGTGTATTGGAGATGTCGGAAGAAAGGTTACTGAAAATATTTATTTCATCTGAGGAGTTGAGGGAAAAGACTGACTTTTAAAGTCTTAATGACTTGTGGGACAATGCCTAAAATTCCAATGCCTAGAAAGGCGGGAGGGTAGCAAGCAAAAATGCAGTGAAGGAACAGTGGCCCAAACTCTGCCCGATTCGATGCAAACGTAAACGCAGGCATCCGAGAATCTCAGCACCCTAAGAACAGAGACACCGATCTCCACCAGCTCTGCAGACTCAAAGGCAAGAGACAGAAACATGGCTTATAAGCAAACATAAAGATACAACCTTGAGGGGCTACGGCCGCAGTGGCGTAGCGGGTAAAGCCACAGCCTGCAGTGCCAGCATCCCATATGGGCGCCAGTTCAAGTCCCGGCTGCTCCACTTCCGATCCAGCTCTCTGCTGTGGCCTGGGAAAGCAGTAGAAGATGGCCCAAGTGCTTGGGCCCCTGCACCCGTGTGGGAGACCTGGAAGAAGCTCCTGGCTCCTGGCTTCGGATCAGTACAGCTCCGGCTGTTGTGGCCATCTGGGGAGTGAAGCAGAGGATGGAAGACCTCTCTGCCTCTCCTTCTCTCTGTGTAACTCTGACTTTCAAATAAATAAATAAATCTTAAAAGAAAGATAAAGCAATTACAAACAGGGTACAGTCGATATGGACTAATCATTACTTTGGAAAGAAGTTAGAAGAAAAGAGAGAATTACTAAAAGGAAACAACAACAACAATAAAAAAAAAAAAAAACACAAAAACCCACTAAGGCTAAATGCCTGCCCCAAACCAGAATTCTTTATCCAGGAAAGACACCTTTCAAAACCGAAGGGGAAATAAGGGCATTTTCAGATCAACGAAAACAGAGAATCTGTTGCCAGCAGATCCGCCCACAAGGTGCACTCCCACAGACTCTGACTTTGTATACTTGAGCACACCTCCGCGCACGCCGCATGTCAGGATGCCTGTGTATACCCTGACTTTTCACTGGCCTGACTTGCCTTCTAGAACTCTGAAGTTATATTAATTACATCATCAGCACCATTTCTTTAAAATGATTCAACAAATACGCTGTGAGGTAGCAGCGTCTGCGCAGGCTACTTTACAACCAGGCATGGCTTGCTAACATTTAAAATGTGCTGAGGAGGGGTCAGCAATGTGGCACAGCCTGTGGTGCCTGTACCTGGGACAGGTGCCCTGCTAATGCGCCTGGGAAAGCAGTGGAAGGTGGCCACGTGCTTGGGCCCCCGCACTCATGTGGGGGTTCTAGGCTCCCGGCTTCAGCCTGGCCCAGCCCTGGTCATTGTGGCCATTTGGGAAGTGAGCCAGTGGATAGAAGATCTCTCTCTCTCATTCTCTTTGTAACTCTTTCAAATAAATAGATTTGTTTTAAAATAAATAAACTATGCTAATGAAAACTCCCTATGAGGGTAGCTGACAGCTGAAGTGCCTCAGTCAAGGGCACTTTCTAATCACTTCAAATTTTGCTAATTACATGTGCACCTGAGTGTTACCCAGCAGACTGAATATCAGAAATAACTTTTAGCTGTGAAATTAATTATGGCTTTGTATCTGTGGCTAGAAGTATACTATAGTCACTGCTACCCTTTCACAAGTGGGGTATAAGAAGATTCTAGATGCTTGATCATAGAACATTTAGACGTCCGTTTTATCTGTGCCCCACCTCATCACAGGATTCTGCCTTCAGAACTAAATGAAGGCTAGCAGATCTTGACATCAGAGTATCGTTCATGTGCGTCATCCCACTCCTAGGAATTTAACCGAAGGAAATGAAATCAGCATATGGAAGAGTTACCTGTACCCCATGTCCACTGCAGCTGAATTCATAATAGCTAAGATATAGAATCAACTCAGAAGCCCATCAACTTTGCCTGGATGAAGAAAATGTGTTACATATACACTATGGAATATTACTCAGCCGTAAAAAAGAACGAAATCCTGTCTTTTGCAACAAAATGGATGCAACTGGAAGCCATGATACTTACAGAAATAAGCCAGTCCCAAAAAGACAGATACTATTTGTTTTCACTGATCTGTGGTAACTAATAGAGTGAAATATATATGAGAAAAATTCACATTTTGAGAATTGATTATTGTTTATAGCCCTTGTGTCTACTGTTGAGGAGCAGTGTTTTTTTCCTTCTTTTTGTTGAATTCTTTATTTAGTGGAGAGTTAATCTTATGAGTATAAATACGCTGAAAGTGTGTCATTGCAAAAATTTGAAGAAAAATAAGGAAGGAGGAGGGAGGGTAGGGTGGGACGTCTCACTGTGCTCCTAAATCTGTATGTATGAAATACGTGGAATTTGTCCCCTTTATATAAACTTAACAAATCGTTAAGAAATAAAGGAAACTGAGGTAAAGTGTTTCAGGGTGCGGGAGATAAATCCGACGTCAAAGTTCATCCAGTTTGTGGGCGCAGGGTCTGTGGCTGGTCTCTGAGCCCACTTACTAGGAAAGACTGTTGGTGTGCAGAATTCGGCTTTTGAGCATCACCCGCCCAGAGGTGGGCTCTCAGGGGAAGAGGCCACAGCCCTCCCCCCACCCGCCCAGCGGTGGGTGGGCTCTCAGGGGAAGAGGCCACAGCCCTCCCCCCACCCGCCCAGCGGTGGGTGGGCTCTCAGGGGAAGAGGCCACAGCCCTACCCCCACCCGCCCAGCGGTGGGTGGGCTCTCAGGGGAAGAGGCCACAGCCCTCCCCCCACCTGCCCGGCCAGGGGTGGACTCTCAGGGGAAGAGGGGTACGGCCCTCCCCCCACCTGCCCAGTGGTGGGCTCTCAGGGGAAGAGGGGTACAGCCCTCCCCCGACCCGCCCAGCGGTGGGCTATCAGGGAAAGAGGGGTACAGCCCTCCCCCGACCTGCCCAGCGGTGGGCTCTCAGGGGAAGAGGGGTACAGCCCTCCCCCGACCCGCCCAGTGGTGGGCTCTCAGGGGAAGAGGGGTACAGCCCTCCCCCGACCCGCCCAGTGGTGGGCTCTCAGGGGAAGAGGCCACAGCCCTCCCCCGACCCGCCCAGCGGTGGGCTCTCAGGGGAAGAGGGGTACAGCCCTCCCCCGACCCGCCCAGTGGTGGGCTCTCAGGGGAAGAGGCCACAGCCCTCCCCCCACCTGCCCAGCGGTGGGCTCTCAGGGGAAGAGGGGTACGGCCCTCCCCGCTGCCCTTATCTTCAGTCTGAAAATCTTCCCGTTCTGCACACCCCAGCTCACCTGACTGGGTAAAGGGAATTACATGATTGCAAAGTCTCTGCCCGGCCTTCGTAAAACACAGTGTGTATCGCTTTATTTATATAAATTACGTGGGTGCTGGTAAAATCAATAAAGAACATTATGACCACGATGGAGAGCACAGTTTGAAGCTAATAAACGTACTTTAAGTGGGTAAATGAAGGCAATGGCCTTGCTCAGAGAGGGATATGTAGAGAATTACTCAGTGCGCAGATTTTACGGATGATAAGGATTTTTAAGCCCAGAGAGCTCACTCGTGCACCACAGACACCCTTGTCTTCCTTGGGAAGAAATACCACTGTGTGTCTCCTGAAGTCAAGTCGTTGCCGTGAGCACAGTGATCTTACCTTCGAGTGGTATCCGACTCTGACGAAGGCACACAGGGGGTCGAAAGCTCCCGTCCCGCAGGCCAGAAGGTGGGTCCTGTTATAGTGATGCAAAACTCGAATGTAATTTGCACACTCACTCTGGTGGAGGAAAAAAGGAGAAAATCGGTTAGTGTAATAACAAACATTTAGTCCTTTTTTAGAAAAATGTTTGCTTCTTATGAAATCTTACGTTTTACCACAAAGTCTCCCTTGGGTGGAGGAGGCGAGGACAGATGGGAAGATGAGGGGGACCCCGGAGGGGAGAAGCGGGGACCCAACTCATATTCCAGTACGCGGTGATCGGGACTGTACTGTTTATCAGGTGTTCTAGCTCATGGTTGAGGAACAGAAAAAGCCCGATTGAGAAATCTGTTCAAGCGTGCAGAGTTGCATGGCAATATGTCCTCCTAAGTAACTAAGTTATTCCCAATGCTGTCTTTTTAGCCCAATATAAACAATGAATCAGCATAAAGTCACAAGGCCAATTATTAGAAAAGCTTCATTATTCGTCAGGAAATACGCACAGACTTTGAGGCATCACAGAATTTGGATATTTTGGAAAATTACTCTTATAGCCTCAAATTCATAAATACGTGTTCAGAGAGAATTTTCAGGTACATGGAAAGCTAGTAACAAAAATCACACTGTAGGGGCCGGCGCCGTGGCTCACTTGGTTAATCCTCCACCTGCGGCGCCGGCATCCCACATGGGCACCGGGTTCTAGTCCCGGTTGCCCCTCTTCCAGTCCAGTTCTCTGCTGTGGCCCGGGAGTGCAGTGGAGGATGGCCCAAGTGCTTGGGCCCTGCACCCCATGGGAGACCAGGAGGAAGCACCTGGCTCCTGGCTTCGGATCGGCGCAGCGCGCTGGCTGTAGCAGCCATTTGGGGAGTGAACCAACGGAAGGAAGACCTTTCTCTCTTTCTCTCTCACTGTCTATAATTCTACCTGTCAAATAAATAATAAAACATATATATATGTATATATATATAAATTTAACAAAATCACAGTGTAGTGTGAGATCCCTGTAAGGTTACAGTCCAGGGGTGCACAGAGTTTTTCTGTAAGGACCACACTGACATTTATTTCGTCTGGGGGGGCCATGTGGTCTCTGTGGCAGCTGCTCACCTCTGCACTACAGCATGAAAACAGAGGCAATCCCAACTGAACGTGCGTGGCTGTGTTCCAATAAAACTTTATTTACAAGAGTAGACTACTGGCCACATCTGGCTCAGTTTGCCAAGGCTGGCATTCAGCTGGAAGTTTCTTGTGGACAGAATCCATTTCGCATATCTCTGCGCTCCCCAGTTAATCACCCAGGGCCCAGTACGTGCTACACACGTAACAATGCTGTAATACAATCGTCTTTGGGTGAGTTTTATGATCAATGTGCTGAATGAAAAAAACAGTTTAAAACTGTTTCAAAGCCAACTTGGTGACATTAATTCTAGCAAACACCCTCCTGGAAAGTTAGGTGTTGCTATTCCGTTAATAATAACGATGAAATAAACAATAATACATTTATTTATTATGTATCAACAAAGAAATACTAATAAATGATGAAAAATATGAAACCTCAAGTGCCAAATATTCTCTTGAAATCAGTACATGAAATAATTGGTACAGGTAATGCTTTATAAGGACAGCGTTGGGATGAACAGGTTAGCAGACTCACGTCACCATCCGTGATTGACTGGGACAACAGCATGTCTTCAGCAAGAGTGAGGAAGGGAATATTGAGTGATCTGGGGGCACACAGATACGTTTAACTCTTCTACACTGTGTCCTGGAGGTGACCCACACAGTTGGCAGCATCTGGTCATGCGGGCAGGGAGCAAGTGTTCTGTTCTCACGGCGCCGTGCCTGTGTCTCCGCTCCTAGCACACTGCCACATCTCGGCAGGAGCCGATCAGACCGCATTTTGGCTCAGTGGAGCTCAGACTGACGTGGCCCAGGAGTGTGTTCAATTAGTCAGTGTGTGGGCTGAGGCAGTAAGAATGTGTTGACTTACTGCTTGGCTATGACCCAGTTGCTACAGAAAACCCAGAGCCGATAGGATGTGTGTTGACTTTTTACATGGCATGCTTTTTCTTATTACAAAGAGGACAAGTTCACTCTCAAAGGCACGTCCGCAGGCCTTCCCCCGAGGTGAGCCTGTCATCAGCTCAGCCAGTACTCCCAGCATGCCGAAGTCCTTTCACCGTGTCTGGTGTGCTAGGGACGGTGTCAAGGCGGCTGCTGGGTAGGCACTTTCCCACTCTCACACCGCAGAGAAAGGACAGAAAAGACAACATCGCTTCTGGAAGTGGGAGACGCTCAGACCGTTCTGGGCCAGGTCAACACGCGTGCGGCCTCTGTGCGCTCGCACTTTGCTTTCTGATTCACTCTCAAGACAGAGTGAGATCACATCAAGCTAAAAAATCACCTGCAATGATTTTCCTCTCAGAGACATAGGAAATACGCATCAGCAAGAGGAACGTGCAAAACAGAACAAAATCAAAAACCAAGGTGATGGCGCCTTGGCTCCCTTTAACTCTGTATTGAGATTAATTGTTATATAACTGTATATAATAAGTATACATAGTTTTTCTCCAGAACTACATTGTGTATATGCTTTTATTCTTTTTTTTTTTATTTTTTGACAGGCAGAGTGGACAGTGAGAGAGAGAGACAGAGAGAAAGGTCTTCCTTTGCCATTGGTTCACCCTCCAATGGCCTCCACGGCTGGCACGCTGCAGCCGGCGCACCGCGCTGATCCAATGGCAGGAGCCAGGAGCCAGGTGCTTTTCCTGGTCTCCCATGGGGTGCAGGGCCCAAGCACCTGGGCCATCCTCCACTGCACTCCCTGGCCACAGCAGAGGGCTGGCCTGGAAGAGGGGCAACTGGGACAGAATCCGGCGCCCCGACCGGGACTAGAACCCGGGGTGCCGGCGCCACTAGGCGGAGGATTAGCCTAGTGAGCCGCGGCACCGGCCTGTGTATATGCTTTTAAAGAGCGAATAAAAGTTTGGTGAGTCAATCTTCTGTGGTTGACCAGAGACACATTTATTTATTTATTTATTTTTTAAAAATTTTTGACAGGCAGAGTGGACAGTGAGAGAGAGAGACAGAGAGAAAGGTCTTCCTTTGCCATTGGTTCACCCTCCAATGGCTGCCGCGGCTGGCGCACCGCACTGATCCAAAGCCAGGAGCCAGGTGCTTCTCCTGGTCTCCCATGGGGTGCAGGGCCCAAGCACTTGGGCCATCCTCCACTGCACTCCCTGGCCACAGCATAGAGCTGGCCTGGAAGAGAGGCAACCGGGACAGAATCCGGCGCCCCGACTGGGACTAGAACCCGGTGTGCCGGCGCCGCAAGGCGGAGGATTAGCCTAGTGAGCCACAGCGCCGGCCCAGAGACACATTTACAAGGACTGACACTTACTGCGTCTTTTCCTTTCATGATGCATTCCTCTATTTTTGGTGCTGCACTCGGCCAGTGTATCTGAAACAAAGACAACGCACCATTATGGCAACTGCATGTAAAAAGAAACTGTAGTTTAAAGCCATTTCACTTTCCTTTAGAATCCAACACATTTCTGTTTTGTTCCATTTTCTGAGACGAGAAAAGAAGGTTTTTATCTCCTTCACATAATTATTGGCGTCATTAGGAAACTTAGCTCTGAGTTTTTGCTTCATGCTAACTTTATTTTTAAAACCCTTTGTGAAGGCTCATTTCAAGTCTCTGCCCGTGAGAGGCCATTGGCCCCTTAACCACCACTGCTCCTGGCTAAGTGCTGGCCTTTCTCCTGAACCTGTGTGTCCATGCACCTGACCGTCTGTCCATCCAGCGCAGGCTCCTTTGCATTTTCACCACTTAGCACAGAACCTGGTGGGGATTTGCCGTAACACCTGCTGTCTGAACGACTCCTTGAACACTGCTCCACAGGGCATCTCCCAGCAAAATACTACACTGCATCTGGCATTCGTTTTTGAGCCACTGTTTAACTTTTCCAACTAGACAGCAGGACGTTTTCATTACATTTCAAGTTTGTTGCTGTCTTCCTTGGGGGGAGGAGGAGGGAGAGAGCGAGCGAGCGAGCGCACCCTTGGGAATTCTTCTTCATCTCCGGGAGCACCTGGCTGAGAACGCAGGCAGGAGTCAGCACGTGTTCACTGGTCTCACAAATTTCCGACCAGCAAATTTACTCGTTTCATGAAAAATACTGTGTTAGTGTTTTCGTGTTGAATTACTTTTGTTCGTTCTCCTCTTGCTCAGCTGCAGAACTGACCGCACCACGTGCCAGCCATCGTGGTAAGAACCTCATCCCACTTTTTCTTTCCTTTGCTTTACAAACTCACGTGCCGAGGTTGCGTCTGCTGTCCTGCAGGATTCCCGGAAGTGACCCTGCTCGGTCCAGAAAAGCCTCTTTCTCTTTCTCGCCCGTGTCTTTCCTTCCGCTGCGCTTTGCCCTCATCCTCTCAGGAGACAACCACCGGGGCTGTTTCTGGGTACTTGCTAATTTGTATATATTACTTTAAAAAAAATTTTTTTTTGACAGGCAGAGTGGACAGTGAGAGAGAGAGACAGAGCGAAAGGCCTTCCTTTGCCGTTGGTTCACCCTCCAATGGCTGCCGCGGCTGGCGCGCTGCGGCTGGCGCACCGCACTGATCCGATGGCAGGAGCCAGGTGCTTCTCCTGGTCTCCCATGGGGTGCAGGGCCCAAGCACTTGGGCCATCCTCCACTGCACTCCCTGGCCACAGCAGAGAGCTGGCCTGGAAGAGGGGCAACCGGGACAGAATCAGGCGCCCCGACCGGGACTAGAACCCGGTGTGCCGGCGCCGCAAGGCGGAGGATTAGCCTAGTGAGCCGCGGCGCCGGCCATGTATATATTACTTTTTTAAAAAAATATTAATTTTCATTTTATTTGACAGTCAGAAATAGAGACAGAGGGAGAGAAGGAGAGAAGGAGAGAGGGAGAGAGGGAGAGAGGGAGATTGTCCATCAGCTGGTCCACTGCCCAAATGCCTGGCACAGACTGGACAACGCCAGGAGCCTGAACCCCAGCCCAGGTCTCCCAGGGGTGGGGCAGGGACCCAGGGACTGCACGTGATCACCTGCTGCCTCCAAGGATGCGCGTTGGCTGGACTGGAGCAGCTGGGACTCAAACCGTCACTCTGACAGGGGATGGGCCCCGCCCCCTGCAGCGGCCTGACACCCCCGCCCGTTTGTATGCATTCTTATAAAACGCATTCCATTTCTTTTGTGCATGTACTTCTAACTTACACAAATGGTATGGAATTTCACACCTCGTCTCTTTCTGATCTTTTGCATAGCACACTTGGGTTTTAAGAGCCCTCCACAGCCCCGTGTGCGCACGGAGCCCGCTCTTCCTGCTGGCTCCGTGGTGTGCAGGGTCTCCGCCTCCCATTTCTCTCATCCGCCTTCCCGGGCATGGATGCCCGTTTGCTGCCAACCCTCCACCACACCAAGCATTGTTTCCTTCTGGTGTAAGAAGACACTACCGGTGTATCTAACTTAATCCTTCTGATTACCAAGGAGGTGGTGTCATCTAGGGAGTTTGTTTTAAAAAAGTGCCTAATTCTCTGTGCAAAGCACGATGCAGTGTAGACCCAAGGATGAAGCCGAGGAAGGTGACCCCGCTGAGTAACGGTAGCAGCTGCTAAGTTCCCAAATGGTCCCCGTGCTCACTCAGGGGCTTGCCCGTCCCCGCGGCGCCTCTCTGCGGGCTCTGTCGCCCTCTCAGCAAACCGACAAAGGCAAGCCCGCCCTCTTCTTGGACCTCCCTCAGAGTCCCCAGGAGCACTGGCTCCAGCTGACCAATCAGCGGCACCAGCACTGCCGGCCACCCAGGCACGGACTCTCTCTGGAGGGGTGGGGGCCTTCCGGGTTTGTCTGAGTTGCCTCCAACGAAGCCAGGCTACCCCAGAGTTTCTTTGGCTCCCTTCTGTTCGACGCCCACCACTTTTCCTTAGCAAGTAAACATCTTGGTGAAGGAACGAGAGTTTCCCAGCCAAGTAGCTGGGCACCTCTGGGTGCGATGGCTATTCTGATGAACAGGTGTCAGGGGCCTTGATGGAGAAGGCTTCGGTGCCGCTTGCCTGCTCACGTCAGTGTCTGCTGCGGTCAGACCCTTCCCCTGCCCGGGGCACTCTGTCCCCTCACGGTCACTCCTGTCTTGTGTCTCCCTCCCTTCTCCCCACCCCTGTCTCCGCCCGTGCTCTGTTAGCCTGGAAAGTTACCAAGCTAAATTCCAGATGCTGTTGACTGGAGGTATTTTTAATTTAATGACCAAACCCTTTAATTATTTTTAAGTCACTGCCCAACACTGACAGTGAGAGATCTTACGTTAAAAAACATCTAGATTTATGGTTTCTCTAGAAACATCTGAACAGAAGCAACACTGGGCACGCATCCTGCGTAGCAACATTCCTTTTGGTCTTTGTTCAACGGGACAGGAAGTCTCTGATTTGCTCCTTTTACCTGATCCTGGCCCCAGAGGCACTTTAGTTTTTGAGGTTTATGTCTGAATCTCAAACATGCTCAAGATTTAAGATTTTTTAAAAAATATGTGCCTTATAAAATATCAGGTAAAGTATGTATCTTCCAGAAGTGGACGAGGATCGTCATTTAACTCAAATATTGTAAAGTCCAATCCAGTCTCTGCCATACAGACCGCATCGGGGCTTTATTGCAGTGGTGACTTTTTCTCACTGTGATCGCTACATGGCTAAACTTACGATCACAGAACAGCGGTCTCTGGTTGGATTTCCGCTATGAAACGCTTGGTGCTCTCATTGCTGCAACGAGCCCCAAAGAGTTGGCCACTCACGTGATGCCACAGCAGGTGCTGCTTAGCAGACTCATTTTACATCAAAACACAGAACAAGAGACAGAGGGAAGAAGCAGGGATGTGAAAGAAAGCCCACACAAAGCCAAAGGCACACACACACAATCCTAGAATACATGGTGATGTGAGCAACGGATCCACAGGGGGTCAGGAAGGACATCACACAAACACAGCAGTGTTGGGTGGGTGCTGTGGTGCCGCAGGTTAAGCTGTGCTGGGGACGCCTGCAGCCCACGTTACAGCATGCAAGGTTCGAGTCCCAGCTACTCCACTTCTGAGCTAGGCTGCTGCTAACGCACCCCGGGGGGCAGCAATGATGGCTCAAGTGCAAGGGTCCCCTCCCCCCATGTGTGGAGTTCCAGTCTCCTGCCTTTGGCCTGGCTCGGCTCTGACAGTTGTGGGGGGTGAACCAGAGGGTGGAAACTCTCAGTCTCTCTCTGCCTTTCAAGTAGATTAAAAATGAATAAACATTTAAGCACAAAAATCTACCTATTAAAAAACCGCACATCAGTGTCAGGTTAGCGTGAGCCTGAGGAAGCCACGCCACCACCACAGCGGTAGAGTTTACACATTTTTAACATCTACTATTTTGGAAAAAAGCCTTCCACCAAGTCATGCATTTTTTTCTGATGATTTCCAAGACCCACTTTAACTTCAGATTCAATTTGGTTTGAGAATTAGGATTTTCCTGTGGTGGCACTGATTACTCAGACAGACACGCTAGAACACGTGCAGGCACACGCAGACTGCATAGACACGTGCGTGTGTGTATGCAAAGAAAACAAAGCACAGGTTCATTGGGGACGGCCTTTCACTGGAAGGTTTTGCTCAGTGGTACGACAGAAATCAGACGACATCTCATCCACAACGCAGAAGAGTGTGTTATTTTTTTTTAAAAATGTATTTATTTATTATTTGACAGGTAGAGTTATAGACAGTGAGAGAGAGAGATAGAGAGAGGTCCTCCTTCCGTTGGTTCACCCCCCAAATGGCCACTATGGCTGGTGCGCTGATCCGAAGGCAGGAGCCAGGTGCTTCTTCCTGGTCTCCCATGGGGTGCAGGGCCCAAGGACCTGGGCTATCCTCCACTGCACTCCCTGGCCACAGCAGAGAGCTGGCCTGGAAGAGGGGCAACCGGGACTAGAACCTGGCACCCATGTGGGATGCTGGCGCCACAGGAGGAGGATTAACCAAGTGAGCCACGGCGCTGGCCACGTTATGTTCTTAACTTACTATAAGATGCAGGCATTTTTATTTTACAATATTAGCATTCCTTCTCATTCGTTTTTCTTCATTATGGAAAATGATGATTCCTTTAAACCCATGCCTAATATATATTACATAAACATATTCCCGCAAGACACGGGTCTGTATTTCTGTAAATCACTGCTTCATATACTCCTGACCAGGACCACACCTACAGCATCACCACGCACCTGGCGACAGCGCTGGTTCCAGGCTATTTTTACACAGAGAGACGCTCCCTCCAGGGCAGGTGGGAGAGCTGGTTCCTGGCCGGGTCATGACGGCAATGCGTCCCCGTGGGCAGAGGTTGGACAGGCTGCTAATGGCCCCTTCGAAGGTCGGCGCCTCCCAAGGCTGAGGTGCCTCAGAGGTGACACGTGTGCATGG